GACATGCCGCGGCTAAAAAAAAAGGTCCCGTTTTCCTTTGAGGCCTGAAGAAGAAGAATGGTAGCCTGAATTTTTATATTTTATCAACTTTTATTAGCATTATTTAAATTTTTCTGTCAATTACAAGGTTTTATGAATTGAAAATATATTATTTACTTTTATAAACTAATATTATGATGTGCTTACTGGACATATTATATAATATCTCGCACGTGCTTTCATTTTCTATTATTCCATTGTTGCATAGAGCAAATTGAAAGTTTAAAGCTTGTTAGAGACACTAAAGCTAACCAGTTTTAAACAGAAGGTCGTTCCTGAAGAAGTACAAATATGGTGTTGAGAGAAAGAAAAACAAAACTTGTTCTGGTTTATATAGTCGTTCACTTTTCTGTAAACTTAACTACAAAAACGCACATTGAAAACAATTGACACGCACATGAACTATAACTTAGGGCTTCTGATTTTCGATTTTAACTGATAAACATACTCGATATAGAATAATAATAATAATAATGAAATCGGTATTTTTTCAATAAACACTGGAAATGGTTATTCAGTTTAAATTAACGTCCCCACTTTCCGAAGTCACTGTGTTCGCGAGATTTAACCCTTTCCATATGAACTCGTGTATAATTGTTATTATTTTAGCCACTCTAACCTAATACGTTTCTAAATTTTACTTACTTTTATAGCAATAAATAAAACGTATATTATGTTATGTATATGTTATTACTCCTATAAGGGAAATTAGTGTGCAGAGAATATACGGATTATTAGTATACTCATTACAGTATTAAAAGCGAAAACTCCGAAAAACACCAATTTTAATACGTATAAATAAAACACCGAAAAATAGCCTATTTTAAAATGTTACTTTTCTTCTTAAAATAAAGAATGTAGTGTTAAAAATATAACAGGCTAGCGTTTTGTGACAACTGTGCTTTAACAATTATATTTGTCATGAGACAATAATAGTTTTCCATTTTCTGTATTTTTAATCACTGAATTATTTATTCGGTCCCTTAACAACAAAAAGTTTTACTAAAATATATAATCAGCGCCTTCTCCTCTATAAATTTTTCAAATTTAACAATAAAACATTTATTCTTCACAGCAGTATAAACTTATAAATACAAACATATATTCATTGATAAAATAAAATTAATGGGCCTGTACTTCAGATATCACTACTGTAAAGATTTTGTTTGTTTGGTGTTTAAGCACAAAGCTACACAATGGGCTATCTTGTGTTACTGTAAAGAAGCCTACAAAGTTTGATGCAGTCATATATTAACAACTGCACTAACGCTATGGACCCGACACAGATTAGGCTATATGTATTAACTGTTATTGTGTGAATGCCTTTTACAAAACAGCGTATAATAATTACAATTTTACTTGTCATAACATATTAGTATATTTGACATATATACACACACACATACTTGAAAATACAGTATCATTAAACATCTTGATCTGAAAACGAGCAGAGAATTTTTACTTATCATATTTTATCCTTCAAAGTTGCTTACACTTTGTAAACGATAATAAATAAATAAATGACAACTTTCTTTATCAAACAATAGCCTACCTCATATACGATGTGTTAGCTTAATTCTGTAATCGTCATCCTTACATGAGTCGCTTACTTCCTTTACACAAGTCCTAACGAGGCTTACCTTTTCTTTTGTTGTCTTTTTCTTGTCGTAACTATATGTCTATGCAAATATGAACTTAACCGGAAACCTTTTCCTGCATCAGTAACAGCGACAGAATATTTTAAACATATTCCCTTTATATTATGTTATTTCTACTGTCTTAGATATGAAAAATTAAATAAATAAAAATCGTAAGGTAATGAACTGTATACAACCTACTGTTTAGAAACACGATTTCAAAACTCCGTAAACTAGCAAAGCATTGGAAATCAATAGGCCTAATGATTTTTGATAAAAATCAAGTTAGAGAGGAGATGACTGTATATTTCTTCGTTCCTTTTACTCTGCAATGGGCAAATTATGAGAAATGTAAAGGAAAATAATAATAATAATATGCAGTATAAGGTGATTTTTTTAACAGCCATAGTTTCGTAGTTTTTGTGATTTCTAATTCAAACAGTTTATTACATTATATGATGACAATGGTTTCATGGTAAACTGGTACAAAAATTTAAATTAACAAAAGTTGTACCGCCTACTGGTGATAATACATTATCCGTATTTCTTTTTTTCTTTTTTTGAAACCTCAAACATAATTTATATTAAACTTTCATTTTTACCAATACTTAATCATATCAGTATTTGTATTTATGGCAAAGTTACCAAGGCTATCTGCTACTGTTCCTAATTGTGAACTATTGACCTGAAGGAGGGTAGTCAATCAGCAGCACCCGACGACCCACCATTCACACTACGAGATTGACCATCACTCTTATAACGCACCCACAGCTTAAAATGCAGGAAATATTTTGTGGTATCCGGAAATCGAGAGCTCTATCACACAGGCAACTCACGCCCTAAGCCTATCACAATGATTTCGATTTGTATTCAACCGTATAGCCATTGATGTCCTAAATACCGTATAAATATCGGGACAGGGGATTGCACTTAAATAACAATTGAATATTAATACTGTTTTATTTTATTAATCAAAAGTAATTAATTTTACTTGGTTATTTGAAAGGAAAATGTTCTTTGAAAAAAATGTGCTGAAAATTGTTGTTAATCATTGATGATATAAATAATATAAGTAATTAAAAGTAATTAGTGTCAGACTTGCTAATGATGAGGGTTAAAAAATACTCCTGTTATTCAGTATAAAAATCGGAAAAGGTCCTTGTTACGGCGGCAGCTGCTGCTGGCTAGCTTTCCTTCTGCCTTTTGATCAGTTCTTCAAAATTAGGGAAGTCTAAACTTAAACTTTAGAATCTGAGATCTTGTTGTTCAGTCCACGATATTCAGATTGAAAATTTATTTTAATTTCCTATTGACATTTACATCAAAACCTTAACTTCGTATCTTGATAAGTTGTCATACATATAAATATTTTCATATAAAGTTTTTAAGCTCAATGTTTTTGCCTGTTTGCAGAAGTTATTACCGACCCGAAATTTCCATATAAAAATAAAAGACTTCAATAGCTCTCCAGTGGCTTAGCGGTAAGTCTGAAGGCTTATAACGCTAAAAACCGGCTTTAGATACCCGTAGTGGGCAAAGAAAAGAAAGCCCACTGTGTAGCTGTGTACGTAATAACAAGCGAAAGATTTGAATAAAAATAATTAGTAAGCATTTAGCAAATATAGAATAAAAACATATTTTTTTATGAATAGTTAATATTCATGTATTATCTTTCTAAAATCGAAAACATAATTAGGCCTAGGACAAATAATGGGAACATCAGATTAACCTTTAAAAGTAGAATTTTTTTAATGTTCCTTCAAAAATGCAAATATTGTAGTATAGATTGTTAACTTACTAAACGTCAGAGAATTTAGGAGAAATAACAATTATTTGGAGTTGACCAGCTGATGGTTATGTTATAGCTATCGCAAAGTTTTTTCTTCTTTTGTGCCAAAAAAAAAACCATCCCTACGGCCGTTTTGTATGTGTAACTTTAGAAAACAATTGATGGAAATTATTTCAATGTTCTACATTTAGTCTGTATTTTTAACAGGGCGTGTCTTTTCGAGGTCATCAGGTTTGACAGAGGGTAATTTTTTTCTTTTTAGATTTGGAGATGGAAATCACTTCCTGTGAAGGTTAGTAGCGTTTAGAGAAGACTTTGAAATACAGCCAATTACAAAGTGTAACAAGTCTATAGGCCTATCGGTCTTAGCAAGAGACAACAAAGGGTGTGTCACTTGCTTTGATTATCTCAACTTCTATATAAAAGATGACAAAAATATAAGATAGCCAGTGAGGAACGTAACTTCACTCTAACTATAGTTAGAATTATCTCCTACTGACCTGCTAATAGACTATCTCACTGACCATGAATTGCTTGGTAAGTTTTGAGTTGTATTACTAAACTAGCAGAATACAAAACATTTTCAGTCAAATTACTATCTTTATTGCAAAGGTACTTCCTTAAATACAGGATTTCTAGAATAATACGAAAGAATTCTAATCGCATACACCGAAATATACAAGTCCACTTGTCTTAGGCCTAACATTAGTTGAGCCTTTATTAAATACGGCCCATATTCGATAAAAAGAAATGTAATTTGTCACCTGTTCGTTTTTTGCTCTAGTTTAGTTAGGGTTAAACTTTACCGTACTTAATACCATCAATAAATAAACTTAATGTTATTCTACGACCTAACATTAGGTCTTTTTAAAAACTGATAAGGTTTTAATATGTTGTACAAGATGTCTACTAAAGTATATTTACATCCGCCCCTTTTTTTTACATCTGTTGAAATTAAGTGTGCGCTCATATGCACTCAGATAGTAAGGTGCTCGCGCATTTTCAGGACAAACAAAAACTGAGTATTATTATAGTAAATAAGTCTTGAATCCTAACTTTAGAATTATTTCCAATTTATAGCTTCTATATTGAAAGATATGTTGTAGTAAAAACATATCTTAAAAAAACTCATCCAGACTTTTTAAATGAACAAAAGTTTTTTTTCGAATCATATAATTGTATGTGGAAATAGAACTGTTTGTTGATATTATATTTAATTGAAATTACTTTTAATCTTTTTGTAGAAAACAACTGTAACTAAGACAAAGCACCTATGAATTAGTTTTAACGTTTTCATAATTAAAGATATTTTAGAACCCCCTTCACCAACAAAATTAGGTGTAGTAAGTTTCTTAACTGGAGAGAGTCTCAGAAAGACTGAAAGTCCATGAAAGCAAGACTACAGACAGACTAAAGTCAATCATAATATTCAAATCCAGTGTTTGGTTTTAAATACAAAGACAGTGCGTAGCAATTTGAAATAACTTTCAGAAATTCTCATTAATAAAATAAGAATGAATTATTAGTCCCATATTCTCTTCAAGTGGAAAGAGGTCATTTATTCAAAGGTAAAACAACAGTTATTTTCTTCTTTTTCTTTAATGTCAAATTAAAAAACATCTGTTCTAACATATACTCTTCTACACTCACATAAAACACATATAATTTACATAATTGAAATTTTTGCTTATAAAAGATAATCAGAATAAAACAACAAATTCTGGTCATACCTGACTTTCAAGGTTGACATCAAATATCGAATCACTCCTCTTGTTTTTTTAACTTTCGTGAAATGGTTTGTTTCACAGGTTTTCCTAGTTTTCCTTTGCCTGGTCCAGCTCTCCTATTCCCAAAATGGAGGAGCTAGTCTCCTTGCTTCGTACCTCAAGCAAGAACAGCAAGAAGCACTAGCTGTACAACAAGCTCGAGTCAATCAAATTCAACAGGCTCCTCAACAAGTTCCAGTACAACCTCAGCCAACACACAGGCCCCAGAATTACCACCCCCCAGCCCCGGTACACTTTGTGAAGATTGGGACCAAACTTGAAGGCGACTACGACTTCGGATACGACACGGGCATGGGTTCTGCAGGCCAGAGTTTCCGAAAGGAGAAACGCCTTCCAGATGGCACTGTTGAGGGAGCCTACGGTTATGTCGATACCGATGGCAAAAAAAGAATTGTCAGATATAGAGCTGACAAACACGGTTTTAAGGCTTCTGGCGATCTTGATCCAGAGGGCGTTCCTAGGGGCACGGCCCCTGGTCCTCAACACATCTCCCAACAGCAGGCAGCCCGTCACGCTGCCCCACAACCACATTATGGACCTCCGGCACAACAGCAGTATGGTAGGCCTCCCCCGCAGTACTCTCCCCAGAATCAATACAGAGGTGCTCCCCCACAGCAAGCCCCAACTCAATACAGGAGAGTCGAGAACAATAACAGACCTGTTTTTGATCCATCGACTCTTTCTTATAACATCGGAATACGACAATCTTAGTTAGCTTTACTACTTGGTGTCCACGAGCTCTAAAACAAACTTTTCCTGTTTCGCAAATATTAAAGCGTGGTTCATATGCACAAGTGCTGGAAATATTAAATTTAAAAATTGTCACATCCCTAGGTTAACGTCACAGGTTGAACTACAAACGTCGATTTGTTGAAACTTTTCAAGCTGAAACTATTTTGTTCTTGGCTGAAAATAATGCTCTTGATACTTCAGTGTTTCAAACGTACCGAGAATTCACCAGGATTTTATCGATGATTAGGTTTAAAGGGTTGCTTATAAATTGTTGAGATAAGTATCAGTTTGTCATCCATATTGGTAAGTTTTAACAACTGTTGAGTATTTTTTCAGGCAACACCTGACAAGACCAAATTATCATATGCTGTAAAAAAAAAAGCCAAGAAGTTCGAGCCTGGAATCAAAGTTAGCTATTTTATCAAGCTTTCTGACCCTCTTTTTAATTTCACTTGCTCAAGTTGGTAATGTTAACTACGTCAACTCCACTCAGAATTTTCAAGTATCGTCCCCTAGCAACTGTTGTGATGAGTTTTTATAATAGATATATAATAAAAAACATATATGAGTTAAAATTGTTTTACCTTTGGAAAATAAAACAATATTTGAGCTTTTGAGCTAATTTATAATCAAGTTGATTTTAATTATTACAATCAATTCCAAGACTATTTTTATCAGCACATAAGTTTCATTTGTAGAAAATTGTTACATTAACATTAGGATATTTCTTAAATTTCGATATATGTTAAAAATTTCTTTTCTTTCACACCAAAGATAAGATTGAAAAGAGAATCTTTGACGTAGAGGCCTTATTGCATTCTCTGATTGGCCGTACCCTCTGCTGTGGACTGCAGTTTCGCCTATTCAAGGCTCATCAGTACAGCTTGGGTCAGCAAATCAAAGAAATACTATTAGGCCTATTATAATGGTGAAGTGTAATATAATATCTATGGTGTTTTGAATCCGTTTTACTTCACCATATAGTAACCAAAATTAATTTAGGGTATATCAGAAAAGTATTGTTGTAACGGTTTCCGTTGTTGGATGGGTTCTTTTGGATTATTCGGTGAAACGAAGAATGCAAATATCAACCCATTAAATTATAAGAAGATCGTTTTATTTCAAGTTTCAAACATGAAGTAATTAACAATAGGCCTAACTTGTCAAATAAACACCGGCAAAACAGAAATTCCCATTATTACTTGCTAATGTTGTATTTCTTGTACAATGCCCTGGCGTGTGAAATGAGCAACTCCGAAACTAGCAATACTATTTGAAATACCAACAATATTTCCACGCTCATGACATACATAAGTCTACCGAACATTGAAATATTTCCAATATGAAAAAGGCGAAGCGACCAGGTATTTAATGGGACTGTTTCTGCTTAGTTTCGTGCTTGTATAGCAATTTAACATTATCGATATTAACATTATGTCAAGATTACTCAATTAATTATGCTAATATACTTTGTCTCAAACACAAACTTAAACTTGTAGCACTGAGCTAATTAACTGCCTTGAATAAGGAAGCATATTGTGCAAACAACGATTTATAAGCACAATGAAGTGATTTGTTTTGTTGTTGTTGTTTTCGGGGGACATACTAAATGTTTTGACAGAACGTTGGCCTTTCTTGTTCAGGCGTACAATTCAACAATCATCCACGCTAAAAATTAGAAGTCAGTAGGCCTAAAATTTGTGTCAAAAATCATGTAAATTTCATATTTTTTTTTTTGCGATACTCTTCCAACCTTTTTATTTTGAGATTCAGATCAGAGGAGTGAAATACAAAAGATAAATCTGAAATGCTATTTTTTATGTCTCTAATTTTGAATACAAAAATGAGAACTTATGAAAAATGTGGAAAAAAACCTATGTACATCTTGTGATTTTTTCTCGTAAATTTTAGGCCTACCATCTCTAGTGTACATCGCGTTTTTATGTTGTTGTTTTTTTGTGCTAGTAAACCTGATGAAGCTGTAATGGCGAAACGTTTGCAAAGATAAAAAGTTCTTTTTTTCTAACTTTATTGCTAAAATTAATAACATAAAACTTTACAGCCCATTACTACTGTAATAACCTTTAAAATATTTAATCAACTTTAATTTTTAAACTCCAAGTTTTTAAACAGCCAACGTTTCTACAACCTTGCCTCCAAGCTTCGCTGATTTTTCATACTGACACTTTTTAACATCTTAACGTATCTTCTTCTTCTTGTCGTATTAATACATAATATATTTAATTACATTATCCAATATATTTACTAGTGTCTGAAAATTTACAGTATTATAAGATGAAATGTGTCAAACTTCACAAAATAATCCAACAAATGTCTAACTAACTGTTATAACATCCAACCCGCAAGTTCCAAATGTTGTAGCACCGTTAACAAGCTGTTTCATTCAAGTTTTGGAAGTAGATGGAAACAAAATTTACACTTTGCAATCTCTCGCTCGTGCGTACGAAGAACAAACAGAAATTATCGCCACTTTAACTAAAATTTCAAAAGGTTTTTATGTAATACAATAATATGTAGTACTTCAAACATAACGGCATGTTATGTGACATCAGAACTGCGATGTATTTACAGTGGCATGTTGGAACTTTAACCTTAGACCTCCTAGTACAGAGCGTTAACAACTGGGAAACGTGCAGTAATATCTAGTGAACAAAGCTGCTGGATGAGTGTGATTCTAAGAACTTATGAGTGAAAACGAAGAATAATATATTATAACATATATCAACCACACTACATCAGCCATATTCAGTGCTGACGAAGCCTTTCGCTCTATACCAGGGCTCATCAGGCCGGCTGGGATACAACAGACGTCTACGCGCTATTTATATCATCAACTTTCATGCTGGATTGAGAAGGGGTGCAACCCATACAATTTCATGGGGCCTCGAGCCTCAAAGAAGGGGAGCCTCCAGCATCGCAGTATTTCATGGGGGCCTTAAAAGGTCTAAATTTGGCCTTGCATGAACGACAACAACTGTTATGGTGTGAACTAGATTAAGTGCCCTCCCCGTGACACAGCGGTATGTCTGCGGACTTACAACGCTAGAAACCGGTTTTCGATACCCGTGGTGGGCAGAGCACAAATAGCCCATTGTGTAGCTTTGTGCTTAACTTCAAAAAGAAACAAACTAGATTAAGTAAGTAAAAAGAAATTATCATAAATTTTTCTTAAGTCATTCACAATAAACTTAAAAACGATCCTATTTAGATCCTGGATAAAGTAGAAAACCTTTTTTCTCTCTCTCTCTCTCTTCACTAGTACACACAACGCTTAAAACCAGGCTTCGATAACCCTGGTGGACAGACCAAAGATAGCCCATTGTGTAGCTCTGCCCTTACCTGCAAAAAACAAAACAAAATATCACTAGTACACTTTGCTTACGCATAAAATTATTATGTTTGACATGTTAATAAATATTATTACCATAAAGCACAGTGTATTGTTATTATTATATTAACTGCTTACGGTAATTTGTAAATAAGGATTTTTAATAAAGATGAATGATTAATTTATGAGTTATCTATAAGTTAACAAAGAAAGACACGCAGAAAAAAACTGGGAAGTTTGAATAAAGAAATCGTTATGCGAATAATGGGTTTTTGATATTTGTTTACTCACAGTTACGTGTATCAACTGCCAACGGTAATTTACTAACGCCCCCCCCCCCCAGTGGCACAGCGGTATGTCTGCGGACTTACAACGCTAGAAACCGGGTTTCGATACCCGTGGTGGGCAGAGCACAGACAGCCCATCGTGTAGCTTTGTGCTTAATTCCAAACAAACTTACTAACACCATCATCACCCCCAAAGAAAAAAGATATAATATTACAAACTCGTCAAATAATGTGCTTTTTCTTTTTAAAGTTCTGTTATTACATGTATCGTTTTAACAGCTCTTTTAGGATGTAGCCAGACTACTGTCCCCCTGTTGAAAAGTCTACGGACTTGCAACGCTAAAATACGTGGCTCGATTCCCTGTGGTGGATAAAGCAGATAGCCCAATATGGCGTTTCTCCAAAACAAAGTCAGAATAAGACATGAACAATCCCAGTAAATGTCTTTATTTACGCTAGTACTGTTTATTTAACGTTTCATCATGTTGTCCAAGTTGAAATACTAGTATTATACACTCTTATAGTACTTGAAAATATCTAAGGTATTAGATACAGAATGCAGTGTTACAAAAGTATAGTAGGCCTAATACTAATTTCTGATGACAAGTATAATTAATTGTAATCAGGCTTCTCCAGCTTGGAAAAAAGGCGTTCACGTCATAACGGTTGTTGTTGTAACAAATGGCTTTTGTAAATGATCACTACTACGTTTGTTGTAACTCAGTAGGCCTAACGACAACGTCGCTTTGATGTTTATATATATATTTGCGCTTCCCCTTTTATGAAATGCGCTTAAAAGTTTGTTTTTGATTAACAAAATGATACATAATAAAGCTTGTTTATGGTTCCAGCTATTAACAATAATTCAGCCCTCTTGTGGTCATTCACTTACATTAGCGAATTTTGTCGCTTCTAAGAGATATCATTACACCCAGATTTATTTGATAGGCAGGATCATACTACAAGGAGAAGTTTGAATAATTTTCAGAGCTAACTACTAACATATTCTGTCGTCGCCAACAAATGCAGTTTTGTAATAAAATCAACAATTTCTTTAAGGTAAAAAAAGAAAGAAATGACCAGTGTACTTCTTTGTGATTTGGTTTTGGTTTGAATTTCGCGCAAAGCGTCACGAGGGCTATTTGCGATAGCCATCCATAATTTAGCAGTGAAAGACTAGAAGGAAGACAGCTAGTCATCACCGCCAACTCTTAGGCTACCCTTTTTTACCAACGAATAGTGGGATTGACCGTCACATTATAACGCCCCCACAGATGAAAAGGGGCGAGCACGTTTGGATTCGAACTCGCTAACCCTCAGATTGAGCGTCCTAACCACCAGGTCATGCCAGGCCCTTGTAACCGTGTGTAGAGCTACTCAACTTTGTGACCCTGGGCAGCTTTTTGTATGGTTGGTTTTAATAACATACGAAACAGTGGTCACAGTCTGAATATCAAGAAACTAATGGGTGGAGACTCTTAAAATAGATCTAGCAAAAAAGGATATTCGTGTATTTAAGAAATGGATGAATTACTACGCAAGTTTCAAACTTAGGAAAATAAGGAAAACATATTTTTGGTTTATGAACCGTTAAATAAAAAAGGAACGAAGAGACAAAGATAGAAAATATACTACTGAACAGAAAGAAAGACACGTAAGCGTCTAAGACTGTTGATTTGATTCTAGCCTGTCTGCTAAAGGAGGAAAAGCTAGCAACCTTATTTTAAAGCACGAATTTCATCTTTACAGGCACACCCTTTAAAAACCTGCCTTATAAATACCTAAGCCTATTTTTGTTGTTGGTATGGGTGTCTAGTTCCAGGAACGTTCGGTACCTTGCCATCAGTACTGTTAGCTATTCTACTTAACAGATTTTTATTACTTGGAGTCTGAGACCAGCTCACTTTCCCGCCAAATCAAGTGTTCATGTTTTATTCCGCTAGCGTAATATATTTTAAATCTTTAACCTGTATCCGTTGACAACAGCATGCTTTGATTAGGTTTCGGTTTTGTTACATTATTTGAACTGTGTGTATTCTCGTCACAAATATTATTTTCTTGAAGAAAAATAGGCCCTTACTATTTGCCACAACAACAACAAAAATATAATGAAAAATGTATCAAATCACCAAAACAATCCTGTCACGTGTTTGAAAGTTTAGGAAAGCTAAAACAATGAAATTGAGTTAAGTCATTTTTAATTTTTTTTTTTAGCTCAGAACAAATTTGTAAATATTGATGGTCCAGTAAATAGTTTTAGTGTAAAAAACCTCTAACTTACTAAATATTTATCACATAACCATATCGACTATTTTTTGTCTCCCAATAGGAAAGCGGTAAGTTTATGGACTTACAACGCTAAAATCCGATGTTTGATTCCCGCAGTGGACTTTGTAGCTAACCCAATGCTATAAAAAGCAAACAAACACCCTTCCACACAATCTGACGACCCACTTTTACGTTTGATCTAAAGTTAAACTAAATAAAACACATTTAGTAAAATGTTGTTGTTTTCTTGATCCCATTCAGTCAACATCACGTCTCGTCTTCCACGCTTCACTTCCTGTTTTTCTGCTAGGTATGTTAAATTTAAATTGATTTGAATATTTTATCATAGATAACGCCTGAACGTGTTAACAATTCTTGGCTGGGTTCTTCTAATCCCTGTTGTTGTTTTTGATAAATCTCTGCACGTGCAGGTGTAGTCAGCAACCTTGGTAAAAAAAGTGAAACTCATCAACATGAATCTAGGTTGATCCTCGTTGAAAGGGGGGATGTGTTCCCCCACTGTAGAGTGCTGGCGTGTCATCTTCACATTAAAGTATAGGTTTTAGATCCCATATGAAAACCACAAAGATCAAGGTGACAACGGTACTGCCTCCCGGATCTGGGTTAATGACGTGCAGAGCTGACAAGATCAGCAGGAAACTGCGCTTTCCGTATTGTACAGATGACCATGAATATAGGTATAAAAGGAAGTCAAGACGGTTAAGAAAACACAGAACAGGGAAGTTTCTTCTGTAGACTGTCTTAAGATGCTTCGACTTGTAAGTAACTTTGATCAGGTTCTAAAACGTTTCTTCATTCTGTTAACAATTTATCCTCGTGTAGATAATTCGGTAGAAATGACTGACAAATACTGAAAAGCCCTTGTCATTAACTAACCGTATTAATAAGGCTATTTTTTTAAAGACCTCTTTTGCTATCTTGTTTTTATCTTAGTTATATTTAAACTGTGGTGTTTTTTTTGTCCAGGTACTTCTGTCATGTTTATGTGTGTCCATCTGGGGTCAGCGAAATGCGTACCAGTATCTGTATCCCCCCACTACCACCACTCAACCTCCTCGAATCTACCACCCACCGGCCCTCGTCCACAAAGTAGAAATTGGATCTGGGTTGGACGGCATCTATGACTTCACCTACGACACCGGCCGAGGTCCACTCGGTCAGAGCTACCGGACAGAGACCCGACTTCCCGACGGTACGGTGAAAGGTTCTTACGGTTATCTGGATGCGGATGGCAAGCTGAGGATTGTAAAATACATCGCCGGTCGAGGGGGTTTTGTCGCCCAGGGAGATGTGGGTCCCGAGGGCGCACCACGAGGCACAGCACCGGGCCCTGCACCTGTTCCGGAACAAGAGCCTCCTCGATACTACTCCCAGCAAACTTCTGTTCCACAGACGCAGAGTCGCCCACAGGTAGCTCCACCACAAACGTACGTCTTGCCCCCTGAAGAAGAGGAGGACCTCGGTCCTCCCTTCATAGACACTTCTCTTCTCTCCTATGACATCGGTGCTAAACAGAAGAGATAGAAGACCTTCACAGAGGTCAACGTGTTTGTATACATTAGATTATCTTGTCTTATTAGTGTATTGTCTATTGTATACAATTTGTTAGTGTTGGGGGTCGTCTGCAGCTCCAGATTTCTCATTATGTATAATTTAAGCAACATTTAAAATCTAACCCACACTTTTCTGGGATCTTTTTACTGCACTTTGTGAGGTACAAGATTTTTTTAAATATTATTTGAACACTGCTAAAAACGTTATAGTTCATTTAACGACCAGTAAAAAACGTTACATTTTATCAATTGGCCAGTTAATGTGTGATTTCTTGAATTCAAGCCCCTGATTTAATTTAACGACCAGTAAAAAACGTTACATTTTATCAATTGGCCAGTTAATGTGTGATTTCTTGAATTCAAGCCCCTGATTTTGGGATCAGTTTTTTTTTTTCAAACTTAAAAGACATGTAAACCCCGTATTTAATTTTGCCAAATATTTAAACTGTTTTGCATGATTTTTTTTCAGAATTTTTAATAATTCCCTTTTTTTCGTTTTTATTAAATTCGACGCAAATAATGCGAAGTGGTAATTCACGTAAAACTCTGAGATGATGTAAAATGGGAATATAAAGTTTGAGTTATTAAAACAAAAGTTAATAACGGTATTTGTGTTCTTGAATGAATCGTACATTCGTCTTAGAAATGCGAAATTTTGTTTACATACTTTCAATTTTTAGCTATTTGTTGTTCGCCCTTTCCGGTCTGGTGTAGCGCAGGAAAGTTTAATTTTAAGGGGCGTTGATGTTTCTCAGAAGAGCAAGTAGGTTTCTATTGGTTTTCTAGTATTGAACGTGCCTGTCTATTTTACAAACTCCCCCTATGACTGAAAGTACAGCCTTCCAAAGTTTTT